ATATAATTTTTTTTTTTTTTTTGATGGAGGAGGAAGGGGGACCCCGAAAGTCCTAATGAGGCCTTGGTCGTATACTGGATTTTATAGCACTTTCCTCTTTCCCAGTCTTCCCATTTATTTGTTTTCCTATCAGGATCTTTCATGACCTTGAATGTCTCCATAATTATTTTTATTTTTTCAAACCAGATTAGCTTTCTGGGAAAGCAGAAACGATGAACTATCTAATGGTTTAATTCATCAATGGGGACAAAGCATCTTGTATAAATTCACAACTTCCACTACTTTGCAGTTCTGTCATATCTCCATGTCTTGGGGTGGGGGAAGAAAGGCCTGGGTATACAAGCTGCATTTCATTTTATCCACCGGTGCAAACTAGCCACATTGTCTAATGCAGAGCTTCCCAACTGGTGTGTCTCAGTCACAAACAGGTTACAACGAGTCTTCCAAAAATTCTAAAAGCTATATATGGACATACGGTGTTCCCTCTATCACAAATGACTACACTGAAGTATAAAAAAATAAAAGTGTCTTTCAAGTCTCATTCAGCTTTTCAAAGGGGTACAAGACAAGCACCTAGGCTTCTAGACTCTGGTTCCTAGGAGACTCAAATGCACATCTCCTTTAAAGTACCTTGTATTTAAGGTTGACTCTTAAAACTTCCTCAACACATTTCCAGTTATTTTTTCCTTTCTTACTTAGGAACAGAAGTTGATGAATGTCAATATTTTTAATATTGATAGCACTAGGTGCTTGCACTTAAGTGGAAGTTTAGAAGAAACATGCAAATCCACTGGGTAATTTAATCTTCCATTTAAAAGGATACCCTATGCCTCACCACCATTAAATATTAACTAAGATATCAAGTACAATCTACGATTGTATACTTAGCAATCCCAATTTCAAGCTATATAAAAACAAGAGCAACCAACTGTAACATTCACCATGCTCTAAAAAGATGATTGGCCCCTTCTCCACAATTTCTAGAATAAACCTAATAAAGTATTTCTATCTATTTCAGAATTAAAGGCCAGAATGTCAAAGTTTCTGAGGGAAGAATAGCAAAAGGAAATGCTATCCAAATAAGCAAAGAGCTATAAGGCCAAAGCCTTTAGTCTTAATTCCCTTATCTTGTTGCTTACTTTATCTGTTTTCAGTCATAAGTTCAAGTGTGTTCACCTACAGAAGGGAAGACCTACACAAATCTTAAGTAGATGATTAAATAAACGAAGGTGAAAACGTAGTTCTCAGTTTGAGAAGACTGACTTTCTGGTGAACAAACCGACAACTTAAAATAATCTAGAAACAATATAAGCCAAAGCATTAGTGATGCTCCTCTTTTTCTTTTTTGTGATACTCTTAATTTTTAAAGCTCTCAAAAACGAATCTTCATCTAATAACGTTTTCCCAGTAGTATTATCAATTAGATAGCTAACAGGACTCATAGCCTTCTTCTAGACAGCCAACTAATAGAAACAGATTAGCTACCAATTACCTAAATTCTCATATAACATCCAGAGGCATATTTAAAAATTTTACAATATTTCAAGGTTAAATGCAGTCCTTATGACATTATTTCTTCTATTATATATGAAGAAAAAGACATTTTGGCTATTTCAATCAAGATTCCTTTCTGAAACATTAAAAGTTAAAAAAATTGAAAATCAGTGGCGGAAAATACATAACAGTCATTCGGAAAAGAGGACTGCTTTGAAATTAAGGAAGGTTTTTTGGTTGTTGTTGTTTTGTTTTAAATCTTAGGGTTAGCTCTAAAACTGAAAAAAAAAAAAAAAAAAAAAAGTTTTGACTTATTTCCCATCTGTACAATGGAGATACCAACACTTGCTTTTCTCAACAATTTATGAGAATGCTGACAACAGAATGAAATATACTGAACTCTGGGTTCTCAGGGGAGAAAAAAAAAAAAAAATCACCCAAGAGAGAAGAACGTCTACTTATCAATAAATGTTCATGATACGGCTTTTATATCAAGGCTTGAGTCTCTGAGGCTTGCTGGGCCCACATCTGAGAATTAGTTTGACTGAGAACACTTTATAAATTTGAAAGATTTCTTCTTGGTTGACTTTTTCCCACCTAAGTAACAAATGACTGCAACAAAGCTGCAATAATTGTCTTTTGACCCAAAAAACCAAACTTGTTGCTGTTGAGTCGATTCTGACTCATAGTGACCCTAGGAAGATGTATTTATTATAATGTTAAGATGCCTTTTTGGTAGGCTGAAGAAAGGAAAGTATTAAAAAACAGGGACCCCGACCAATGTCACTAACCAAACACAGTAAAAAGTGGATGAAATCTGAAATGATAACTACAGCACTTACCTGACTTTGGAAAGCATTGTTCCCCATGCTTGTTTAATTGAATTTATCGAGTTCTGAGTTCTAAAAGAGCCTCACAACACTTTGTCAAAGCAGGATTTGGACAAAACCAATGGCACTCTCTTCTGGGCATTAGTTGCATCCAGGCAGGATTCAACAGAAGTAAACCATTTCAAGTTTTACCATTAAAAATCTAATGTTTACTGCCACCGATACATGAGGATTTCTGTGCTGTTCCCAACTTTACAGCAATTAAGAAAAGCATTTTAAGAAAAATATTAATAAATCTAAACCTCTGTACGGAGACTAGATTGATGCAGTTTTCCAGCAGAATATGGAGGCCAAGCAAGAACTGCAGGCTCCAAGTCTCCTTCACCACAGCAGGGGAAGAATGGAAGTCACTGTACAATCTTCACCCACTTGACTCGGCCACTCATTCAGCTGGGCTTACCCACTTTCCTACCCCAACTTCCTTCCCAAACTTTTCCTTCCAGCTGTTCCGGGTCCCTTCCTGCAGTTTCTCCTCCACAACATCAATTTCCAAAATTCTGCTCAATTTACATAACTCATTCAGCAAAATAAAACCTGAGGCCTAAGCCAAACCATCTCACTCATCGGTTCTCAAACGTATCTCAGCAAGTCTCAATGTATCTTACCACATCTATTGGGTTTTTGTTTTATTTTTATAAAAACTGAATTGTACTACAAAATTCCAATTTCTCGGCAGATTGATTTTTTTCATTCATTTTCTCACTTGCTTTTATGTTATCTTCACAAAAGTCCTTTGAAGTAGGTACTACCTCCTTTTTATGGACAACTGAGTTCAGAGCAGTAACCTGTCCAAAATCATAAAGCTTGTAAGAGGCTCAGTCAAAATTCAAACTCAGATCTGTCAGATTCCAAACAGTCCACGTGCTTCATTACACTCTATATTCCAATGATCAAATTAAAAATAAATGATGCAAGGACTCCCTATTTGAGTGGTCATACTTTTTCAAAGTTCTAAGGCTGCAAATTAAAGATCATCCAATAGTGTTACCCTATTCTCTAGTGGTAAGGTGAAACTAAATAGTGAGAGGGTTAGGCCCAAACCAACAATCTTCACTTTGCATCATAATTAGTTCATTCCTTGTTTAAAATTGCGAGCTTCTACCTCAATACTAAATTGCTCAATAGGAGTAATACACATTAGCCAAACCATGTAACAACCAAATTAGCAAATTAAACTATTCAGACACATAAAGCCAAACGAAAACAGATTAGCTGTGCACACTAACTGGTAATACCGTAATTTCTCTAACATCTTACTGTGTCAAAGGTATCAAAGCAATGATGTATAACCATTTCAATTAACACTCAGACTTTGGAAATATGTCCAACTGAAAATGGTTTACTTAACAAAAGATAACTGGAGAACTGAAGTTTATAGATTCTGATTTTATTCATAAGATCTTTAAAATAAGCCTGTTGACCAGCTGTTAAATATATCAACTATCAGGGTAAAGCAGTGATTTTCAAGGGAGTCCCCACTTCTACTCCCCTGGGATGGAGGAAAAGTGAAATTTAGCACACGGTATAAGTCAAGGCTGGGGAACAAACTGGATATCAAACTGCACCTCTTGGGGCTACTTTAGGTCAAAATAAAGCTTACCGAATCTTCTCTAAATAAGCCTGGACTTGAAAAGGATAAAATACAGGGGTGGGGCGGGGTGGGGGGGTGGTGGTGAGGGGAAGATGGTGAAAATATTCTTCCTGACACACCTATGCCCTAAGGACCAACCAAAACCTGTTGCTGTTGATTCTGACTCATAGCGACCCTATGGGAACAGAGTAGAACTGCCCTATAGGGTTTCCAAGGAGTGGCTGGTGGATTCCAACTGCCAACCTTTTGGTTAGCAGCCTAGCTCTTAACAACTGTGCACCAGGGCTCCATGCCTTAAGGACAATAAACATAAATACACATTTTAAAAAATTATAAGCAAATAAATACAACTACAATAAGTCAATCTATGGCTTTTTTTTCTGTTCTAGGTGGTCTAAACCTTAATCCACACCCACCCTCACCCCAGGCCTTTTAAAAGTGGCTGCTAAATTATGAGGTCCAAACAGCATTTTCTAAATTCTTTTTCTATCTTTCAATTCACCATAGCCTTTAGCACAGGCTGAGGTTTCAACTTCTGCTTCCTCTATTAAAATCAAACTATACTTCAATCTCCTAAATCTGTGATGGACAAAATTGATAGACATCTTCCTCTGAAGTTTTAAAAAAAAATCTAAATCTCAGTTTAACCTTCTTTTCAAATCACGGTAAAGGTAAAAACTGAAGGATTCACTCAAATGGTTATTTTGCTAATGAATGGTGTTTTACATAAATGCTATTTACATTCCTAATCAAACCAAAACACCAAGTTGATGAATTTCTGTAATTATTAAAGAAACTCTCTAAGAGACAGAAAAACCTTACCAACCTTTACCCTAGGACTGTCTATTTAGTTTACCAAAGGGTTGTGGAAAATGTAATTAACTCACAGATCAGGCAAGCAATATATACCAGAAAAAAAGACTCCTTTAACAGGTACCCTAGTAAAAAAATTTTTTTGAAAAGCTAAATTAGAAGCCTCCATAGCAATTAATATGTCATGCAAAATACAGAAAATTTGTAAATACCTGAACTGTAGTGGCTGATTCCTGTAACTGGCCAGTAGCAACTGCTCTTCTGGAAGTTGCTAAAGGGACACTGAGGGTTTTGGGGGTTCCTGGAGTATCAGTATTTTCATCTGTCCTATGTGACTGCCAGGCCTCCTTTCGATGATGAGATTCAGTAGCTTGCTGGTCTCCAAAAGCAGCCCAAGAACAACTCTCTTTCTGTCCATCCTCAAAAGCATTCCAATCTGCAACTTGATTAGGACCAGCTGAACTGAAGTCCGCAAAATCATCTGAATCTTGAAAAGCACTGCAGTCATCTTGAATATTTGGCACAGAATCAAAATCTCCAAACTCACCTTCTTGCCCATTTTCCAGTTCTGAAACAGGTTCAACGCCTGCCCCAGTAGACTTTCTTGCCAACTGACATCCTTCTGATAAACTATCAGTAGTCTGTTTTAGGTCTGACTCTGTAAATATAATTTCTTCTTGGCAAGAAACAATACTTGTATCCCCAAACTCCCCAAAGTCATCACCTGGTTCACTAGAATGTGGAAAGTGTTCTGAGGACTCTTCAAAAGTGATGTCGCTCATCGAATCTTGAGTGCCAGGAGCAAAAGGTGGAGTTGTGCCACTGGCTGTGCCGAAGTCACCAAAATCATCCTCGTTTGTATCATTGCAAGTCACAAAGTCGTTACTACTGTCACCATTTTTTATACTTATAGAATCATCTAAAACATTTTCTTCTGTGGGATCGATGCCGGGGCTTTGGGAAATAGTAAACTTTATAATTTCTTCTTTGGAAGAACCAACTTCATTATCAGCATCATTAGTTTTAATATAATCCATGCATAGGTCAGCACATTTAGAAGTAAATAAATCAAGTTCTTCCTCAGTTTCACACTGTTCTCTCCTACTGGCTTCTGAATTATCAGCTGTGTCTACCGAGCTCCAAGTGTTTGACAAAGCACTAGAATTTAACAATTCATCCTGTTGCAGTGTTGTAGGGCCTTGTTTCTCAACACTGAACCCTCTGTTACTCACTGTGCTTACTTCTGACACACAAACCTGCTTCTCTCCATCAGCGTCTCCTTTGTTGTCAAAGCTTCTGTCCAAAGACACTTCTTTCACAGAACTCAGTTCACTGACTCTGTTAATTTTATTGTTTTCCTGAACAGTTAGTGCTTCTCTATCATTTAAAACTGTACATCCTATATCTTCTAGTTGTATCCTTTCCTTTTTGGAAAATGTGGCAAAATCTGCAAATTCCTCAGCAGGACTAGGTGCAGAGTCAAAATTATACTCAGTGCTCTGAGTGCTAAGAGGCTTTAGTCCCTTTGAGTCGGCTACAGTGTCCAGATCATCTGTTCCCTGAGGATTTACAGTTTCCAACACTGCAAACCCATTTGTTAGAATCTCCAGACAAGGAGCATTTTCACCATTGCAGCTCTCTAACTGCTTGTTTTGATGAACAACGTTCGTATCAGTTCTAAAATCTCCCGGAGAGAAACTTTCAGGTGTTTCAACATTCTGTCTCTGCTCCACTGCTTTATTTAAATCTCCCAGACTTTCCACACCATCAATGGAAGTATCTAAAATTTTAGATGGAATTATTTCTTTGCTGGTGGCAGAAAGTAAAACATCAGACTGTCCTTTCCCAGGAGTAGAAAGTTCGGCAGTGATGTCCTTATCATTGCCATTTTTAATGGGCTTAAAGCTTGTAAGGCTATCTACATTTTCTGAGAAATCATGAATTGGCATAAAATGGTTTGAAGGTACAAACTCTTCCTTGGGATGAGTATAATCTGGGGTATCAAAATCAACAAACCCTACACCAGAAGGGCTAACTTCTGAAAACCCACCGAATTCCCCAAATTCATCGTCATCATCATCCTCGGCTCCATTGTCTAGTGGTGGTGGGGATGAAGAGTACATTCGAATGATGTCTGGCTCCATTGTTTAACTGCTTTCAAATAATTAATTTACACCTGTAAAAAAAAAAAAAAAAAAGTTTTTTTTTTTTTTCTGGAGAGGACAGATTACATACAACAGGTCTTTCAAAATTCTCTCAAAGTTACTTTGTTGTTGTTAGGTGCAGTTGAGTCCATTCCGACTCATGGCGACCCCACGTGTGCAGCGTAGATGGCCAAGGCTGTCTTCCGACGCGCCTTTGGTGTGTCTATACCTCCAACTTTTCAGCTAGCAGTCCAGCGCTTAACCGTTTGCACCACCCAGGGATGCCTAAACCTACCTGTTAACAATGCAAATTTACACTGCTGTTTTGTATCTTTTACACTATTTTTTTCTTAAGTGAGATTACTTTATACAGCTATAATACACTGGCAAAAAAATTCTACTTTCTAGTGTATGTTACCAAGAGCACTGGTAGTATATTACTGAATTTGGGAATTCCAGAGAATTTTGAAATATATACTTACAAAAGTACATCCACAAAATTGTCTCATGGGGCATGTGCTTTTTCTCTTAAGCTGTCTTTCAATTTTACTGGGGACTCAGTGCTTTTATGGATTTGTATTAATTCTTTGTAAATAAAAGGTGAAAATTTTATCTGTAATATTTGCTACAAATATTTTCTTCACTTTGCTTTTCAGTGTTCATTTCTGACCCAAGTTAATTCACTTCTATTTTCCTCTACTCTTATAGTGATTGTTTTACATTTAATTTTTAACACATCTGAAACTTATTTTGGTGTATGATGTAAAACAGGGATCCTAATAAAATATTTTCTAAATAGCCAACTATCAAAATCCCATTTATTGAGTAATCCTTCCCATACTCATGGATTTATAATATCTTCTTTTTCACACACTAATTCTTAAATGGAGTGTTTCTGGACTATTCTATCCGTTTGCACTAAGAAGTCGAAAGTGCCACAAGACAGACATAACATTAAATGCAAAAGCAGGCCATCAAAGTCCTAGAATAAAACCAGCCCCCAAAGAGTGAACTGATACTTTCTGCAACTCACAGTTGCCAAGCTGGATATGAGGAAAATGTTTACTGCAGAATCAAACCAGCTTTGCAAGCTAGAAAAAGTCACTTTCAACTTGCAGAATGAAATTTTGTTTTTTCAGTTTTAGAGTTCGAAGTTACCTTAGAAACCACATAATTTAGAGATGGGGAAAACGAGGCCTACTGGCAAGTAGTTGTCCCAAAGGTCACACAGCTGGTTAGTAGAGAACGGCAAATGAACCCAAGCCTCCTGGAGCTTATGTCAGAGCTTCAGAATTCTGAAAAGATCTGTGAGGTCAAAGACTGGTCAGTCACTGAGAGTTACTTGAGCAAGCCACAAGAAAAGTAAAAGACTCCATTGTAACATATCTAGTTTAAATTATCTTCCTTATGAAATGAGCATCATAAAGGAAAATAACTGTTTTTAGCTCCAAGATACTCTTCTTTTCTGCTGCTGGTTTAAAGAGAAAAGGGAGGTGGGAAAGGTACATAAAAACTAGTATTTCCTTCCCTCATCTAGTGTCCTGATAACCTTCTAATGCTTTGCGGACAGAGTAATTTGGCCTCTATCAATGTGCCTCTAATTATAAAACGCGTATTGTTGTTGTTAGTTGCTGCTGATTTCATTCTGACCCATATGTGCAGAGTAGAACTGCTCCACAGGGTGGCATTTCAGAAGCAGACTGCCAGGCCTGTCTTCTGAGGCACCTCTGGGCGGTTTCAATTTGTCAACCTTTCAGCTAGTAGTCGAGCACTTAACCACCTGTGCCACCCAGGGATCCATGAAATTCTTCTTATTTAAAAATATTCTGTGACAGTATGGATGGAGCTTGAAGACATTCGGCTAAGTGAAATAAGCCTATCACAAAAGGACAAATATCGTATGACCTCACTTATATAAAAAGACAAGAAAGGCAAACGTATGGAGGCCAAAGTTTATTAGTGGTTACCAGGGGTAAGAAGGAGGGGGAAAAAGGGGGTTAATGGTGATGGAAAAATTGCATTAAGGGTAGGGCTGCCCAACTGATTATTGTAATTGCTGTTAAGTTGTACAGCTGTAAAAAAAGTTGAACTGGCCAAAGCTGTGTGACAGATACATTCACGACAATGACAAAAACAAAAACAGAGTAGCTGCTGAGGCTGCTTATGTATCATGGGATTAGATTCCTTGGTTTGGAGATTTAGGGTCACGGTTTCATGGGACATCCCAGTTACCTGTCCTAATAATGTGTTTAGTGCTTCTGTTCTACCTCCTAGTTTGCTGTGTAGTGCTTGGGGTCTTAAAAGCTTGCAAGTGGCCATTCAAGGCACAACAAGTCATCTCTACTCAACTGGAGCAACAGACAAGGAGAGTCAGGAATAGGAGGAGGAAATGGAATGTGTGGCTAATTCCCTCTGTGAACAACTGCCTCCTGTGCCAAGAGACCAGAAGAACTGGATGGTACCTGGCTACCATTACCGAACATTTTGATTAAAGATTCCATAAAAGAATCCGGATCATAAGGGGGAAAATACAGAACAGAATTTCAAATTCTCATGGATTCCAGACTTCCTGGAGCCATGAAGGATGGATGAACCCCTGAAACTATTGCCCTGAGATAATCTTTAAACCTTAAACCAAAAATATCCCCTGAAGTCTTCTTAAAACTGAATAGTTTAGCTTAACTAGTAGAAAAGGTCTGCCTTGAGCATTATGCTCTTTTAAGAACTATCTATATGGGATCAATCTGACAACAGCAATATGAAAGATTAGATAGGAACCTTAGAGGGGCAGTGAGTTTATGTTAATGAGGGAGTGTCTTAGTCATCTAGTACTGCTCTAACAGAAATGCCACAAGTGGATGGTTTTAACAAAGAGAAGTTTATTTCCTTACAGTAAAGTAGGCTAAAAGTCTAAATTCAGGGCATCAGCTCCAAGGGAAGGCTTTCTCTCTCTGTCGGCCTTCTCATCCATGTCCCCCAGACTAGCAGCTTCTCCGCACAGGGACCCCAGGTCCAAAGGACATGCTCTGCTCCTGGCACTGCTTTCTTGGTGGTATGAGGTCCTCAATTCTCTGCTTGCTTCTCTTTCCTTTTATCTCTTGAGAGATAAAAGGTGGTACAGGCCACATCCCAGGGAAACTCCCTTTACATTGGATCAGGGATGTGACCTGGGTAAGGGTGGTGTTACAATCCCACCCTAATCCTCTTTAACATAAAATTACAATCACAAAATGGAGGACAACCACACAAGTCTGGAAACTGTGGCCCAGCCAAATTGATATACACATTTTTTGGGGGACATAATTCAAACCATGACAGGAAGGAACAACTCAGAAAAGGAGGGTGAGAATGGTTGCACAACTCAAAGAATGTAATCAATGTCACTAAATTGTACATGTAGAAACAGCTGAATTGGTGTATGTTTTGCTGTGTATATTCTCAACAACAACAAAATAAAATTTAGAAAAAAATATTCTGTGATTGTTAATGAGAGTATGAGGAAAAGGGACACTTGCACGCACACACTGCTGATGTAAATGTAAATTGTTACAAGGCTTCCAGAAGGCACTTAGGCTATACATACACAAACTCTTAAAAAAACAAACAAACAACACTTCAACTCAATCAACTCCACTTCTAGGAGAATATAGACTAAGGAAATATTTGCACAAGCTTGTATAACCTATTACTTAGGTAGAAAAATGATTAGGTACAAAGATCATTAACACCCAGAATATAAAACAAAATGCTCCAAAGGGATTGTGTAAGTAAATTATGCTATATCCCTACAATGGCATGCTACGCAGCCATGATTCTTCTCTCCTTTTAAATTTAAAACCATTCACAACGATGGGGTCATGTCAAAAGGATACAGATGCCAGCTTGAAGGGGCTTCTACTGGTCAAACCAGGGACAATGTAAAAACTAAATAAATAATGGATTCAAGCACTGAATAAAATAATAAACTATGGGTCCTCACAGATGTAAGTATGTAAGTGAATAAACTAAAAGTTAGATGAGGAACATGATATATGCATAGTTTCAAAGCATCTCTTTACAACATACTTAGTTACAAAATGAAGAAGTGTAAGTTTACAGTGCTGAAGCCTGACACTACCTTAATCAAATGATCAAAGTGAACATCATCCGTAATAGAAATATTGAAATCATGCACCACCTGATGAGATGCAATGAGAACACAGGATCACTTTTCCAACATTCCTGCCACAAACACATAACCTGAATCTAATCATGAGGAAACTTCAGCCACACTCAAATTGAAGGACAGTTTGCAAAATAATTGGCCTGTAATCTCAAAAGTATCAAGGTCATGTAAATCAAGACTGAAGAACTGTTCCAGATTGAAGAACATAAAAGAGAAAAGACAACTAAATACAATGCTTGATTCTCAACTGAATCCCCTTTCTATAAATGTCATTATCAGGACAACTGTCAAAACTTGAATGGAGTCCACAAAGATTACACAGTAGCAATGTATCAATGTTAATTCCTTGATTTTGATGGTAGTATTGTGGTTATGTAAGAGAATGTCCTTGGCTATAGGAAATAGACACTGAAGTATTTGGGAGTGATAGGGCAACAGACTGGCAACATACTCTAAAACTGTTAAGAAAAAAAAAAGTTATTTGCACTGAACTTGCAACTTTTTGTTTGTGATTGTTTCAAAAGTAAAAATGAAAAAAAAAATTCAAGAAAATTTATATGTATCTATATGTATACATTTCAACATGAACATTTTATAAGGAGCCCTGGTGGCACAGTAGTTGAAAGATCGGCGGTTTGAACCCACCAGCTGCTCCACAGGAGAAAAGATGTGGCAGTCTGCATCTTCTGTAAAAAGATTTACAGCCTTGGAAACCCTATGAGGCAGTTCTACTCTGTCCTATAGGGTTGCTATGAGTCGGAATTGACTCAATGGCAGTGGGTTTTGGTTTTTATACATGTGTTACTTATACAATATTAATAATACCTTAATTTTAAACTTTTTATTTTGAAAATGATAGACTCACAG